CAAAACAACAAAACATTTTAAAAGAGATACAGATTGTAACTAATAAGATTAATGATCTACACTTGAAAAAAAAGCCTATACTTTACAAAAACTTAAAATGAAACATTAAGTCCAAGGAAACAAGGCCAGCAAATTATTAGCCAATATGTTACGTAAGAAACAAATACAATCCAAAATTCCATATATTCTCTCTAAAGGTAACCATAAAATCTGGAATCCACAAGACATAAACAAGAAGTTAGCAGCATTATATAGTAATCTTTATAAAATTACGAGATGACCCCTCGTCACACCTTTCCACTACATCAGAAATTGATGCTTACTTACAGCCCATATTTTTACCTAGTCTTACCGATGACCAGAAAAATATCTTATCCAGACAAATCACAACCAATGAAATACAATTCGTAATATCCCATCTTCCCACAGGGAAATCCCCAGGGCCCAACGGCCTAACAAACTACTACTATAAGACCTTCGCTACTATACTTATCTCGCATTTACAAAATACATTTCATCACATCATTGACATGGGGACCATGCCAGTGGAGATGCTCTCAGCTCATGTAGTCACACTCCCCAAACCGGGGAAAATACCAAATAAAGGGCAAAATTTACGCCCAATTTCCCTTCTGAACACTGACATCAAACTACTCACAAAAATGTACTCTAATAGACTTGAAACAATACTCCCCATACTAGTACATGTAGACCAGGTTGGCTTTGTGAAGGGTAGGCAGGGCACTGATGACACCAGGAAAGTTCTGGATCTAATATACAACAAAACACAGGCAGCCTTTTCCTATCATTAGATGCAGAAAAGGCTTTTGACCGCCTAAATTGGAACTTCCTCAAAGCCTTAAAAAATCTGATTTCCCAAAGAATTTTTAAACAATTTACAAGCCCTCTATAGTTCTCCTACTGCTAAAGTTGCCAATGCGGGTTTTCTCTCCCACCCATTCAGCATCACGAATGGTACCCGGAAAGGATGCCACCTCTCGCCCCTCTTATATGGGCTAGCACTAGAACCCCTAACATCTATCATAAGAAATCATCCATTAATTTCGGGTATTAAACACAACACAAAGATTAGAAATTAACATTATTTGTGGATGACATTCTCTTAACATTGCAGGACCCAGAAACCTCCCTACCACACTTCCACTCTGTCTTAGCGACTTATAGCAAATTCTCATACTACAAGCTGAATGTCTCCAAGACACAAGCTCTAGGTAAGGGACTCCCCACAGACATGATACAAAGACTGAAAAACACTGAAAAATACTCATGATTGGAGAAATTATCATATTACATTCCTAGGCATTTCCTACACAAAAATACAAGCCGCCCTATTCCAAGCCAATTATGGCAAACATTTAACATAATTAAAGCAACAATTACAAGAATGGAAACCCTTATTTATCTCTTGGTTGTGCCGCATAGCATCCATTAAAATGATAATCCTCCCTAAGCTACAGTACTTATTCAGATCATTACCATTACGAATACCCCATATTTTCTTTAGCACGCTGCAGTGCTGGGTATCACGGATCGTGTGGAATGGGAAAAGATCATAAATAGCACTACATATAATGCAAAGACCCATAAACGAGGGAGGTATTGGTCTATCCAATTTTAAACAGTACTATCATACAGCCATACTGAGTAGCATTATACAAGCTAGGCCAAGTGCTCATGAACCTCAGTGGAAACACTTAGAATCAGTATGGAATCTAGTATGGATCCCTACCAATAAAAGACCGCAAATCCCCATTTGTCTTCCAACCACTAGTTTAACATCCCAGACTTTAATTATAGAATATGGAAATGACACAGTATCCACTTTTTACACCAACTATTCACAAAAAACAATCTTAAACCATTCCCTGAACTACAACAATCTCATAAGATACCAACGATAGCACATTATTCCTACTGTCAACTTAGTTCTTGGATAACTACACAAATCCAATCAGGTACTATCTCTGTTAATTGGCAAAGGCTGACGGACTTCGAAGGTATGTACGCGGGTACTGAACCCCCCAAAAAATTATCTCCTCCATATACACTGCAATACCTACAAAGCAAGAATTGAAAGACTACTGCTTTATTAAAGCTTGGGAAACGGAATTAAACAAAACATTTGACGAACCAGAATGGGAACACGTGATTACACTTCCGAAAACTTTAACTCTCTGCTCTAAACACACCGAATTAGCAAAAAAGCTACTCTACATGTGGTATTTAACACCAGCATGTCTGCATAAATTTAGCCCTACTATATCCAATTGTTGCTGTAGATGCAAATCTGGCATAGGAAGCATGTTGCATATCTGGTGGGACTGCCTGCACCTATCCAAATTTTGGAGGAACGTAGCCAAACTCATCAAGGACAGCACAGGGATAACCCTACCCCACAAATAGGAACACTACATATTTTTCAATTTCCCAGCTTCAATCTTGAAGCCAGATCGTTATCTTATTTTTCATATACTCACTCTTACAGCACAAAATTGGTCCTCACAGATGATACCTACAACACAGATGTGTATACAACACATAAACCAAACACGTCTCAATAAAACTATACGGCGACAAAATACACCTCCCAAAAGACAGCACCCACGATATAGACAATATTGGGAAATAGCCTGGGAGGCCTGGGCGAAGTTCATGAAGGAACTTCAACAATAGCATTAAAATAAAATAATGCTACACATCGAGGTCTGACAGCTGAACCCATCCAAACCTTACAGTACTATGTAGGCATAATGCAATGCATTGTAGAGTAGTATGGCATTGTCACAGTTCAATAGACAGATCCGGACTCCGACGTAGTCTGGGAATTTGAGTTATCCACAACATGTACCCTACCCCCGTACCCACGCCTCCTACCCCTTTTTTCTGGTTATATATATATTTAGTAAAACACTGGACTTAGACCATGTATGTATGTATGTATGTGAAAGAACAGGGATGCTTATGTGTTATCCAAATCAATCAAGATATGTGATGATTTACGTACAACATGTGTCTCACCGTATTCATTTCCCAATGTCTTGTTTCTTTTTTCTGTACCATGCATGACAGAGTCTAAATAAAATTGCAATTTAAAAAAATGTTTTAATCTTTTGTAAAGTTTCTGCAAAAAAATATTAAATCAGGGCCAATATTTATCAAATTATAATCCATACCTTCATTAATACATCTTTGAATATATATATATTTATTTTGTATTATGTATAACTGTGAGAAATGTGAGGAAGGCTGAACTTGATGGACGCAAGTCTCTTTTCAGCTATGTAACTATGTAATTACACTAGTTTGTATTTGTTTATATTATAGTGCAATAGATGTCTAATTTTACTCAAAGAATATTCTTTTCTGAAAATACATTGCTAGGCTGGTTTGCTTAGTTTGGGGTTTGTGGGAATTGCAAAATCTGTCCACAAGTCAGTAAGTATGTTCAATCTAAGGAACACACCTATTTTGTAGAAGACAAGCCTAATAAAAAAGCATACAAACTGGCATTCCCATCCATGAAGATATGAGCACACCAGAGACTCTTTAGGACAAATGAAAGCTAATTTTTTATGTTGTTTCTACTTTGCAAAGTATTAATCCCACATTTTTGTTCATGCCATATTTTGTCTCTCTCTATAAGCTGCATGCAGTGCACAAAGTGAGCGCTGCATACAGTCCTTTAAATCCTTATAAATCACTGTGGTTGATGAACACGGGGGGACTTCAAGCTTCTCTTTGACAGTGTGAGATCCTTGGATCACAGAATCCACTGAACCCCACAGTGGTAACATAAAGTAAAATGCTACTGAAATCTGCACTTTTTGTAAAATTAAAAAGAGAACACAGTATTCACACCTAAAGCACTAAAGGAAGCTGAAGTGCTTTAGAAACATAGAGACATAGAATGTGAGGGCAGTTAGGAACCATTCGGCCCATCTAGTCTGCCCAATTTTTTAAAGACTCTCATTAGTCCCTGGCCTTATCTTATAGTTAGGATAGCCTTATGCCTATCCCACGCATGCTTAAACTCCTTTACTGTGTTAACCTCTACCACTTCAGCTGGAAGGCTATTCCATGCATTCATTACCCTCTCAGTAAAGTAATACGTCCTGATATTATTTTTAAACCTATGTTGTTCTAATTTAAGACGATGTCCTCTTGTTGTGGTAGTTTTTCTTCTTTAAATATAGTCTCCTCCTTTACTTTGTTGATTCCCTTTATGTATTTTAATGTTTCTACCATATCCCCCCGTCCCGTCTTTCCTCCAAGCTATACATGTTAAGATCCTTTAACCTTTCCTGGTAAGTTTTATCCTCAATCCATGAACCAGTTTAGTAGCCCTTCTCTGAACTCTCTCTAAAATTTCAGTATGCTTCTGAAGATACGGTCTACAGTACTGCGTACAATACTCCAAGTGAGGTCTCACAAGTGTTCTGTACAATGGCATGAGCACTTCCTTCTTTCTACTGCTAATACCTCTCCCTATAAAACCAAGCATTCTGCTAGCATTTCCTGCTGCTCTATTACATTGTCTGCCTACCTTTAAGTCATCAGAAATAATTACCTCTAAATCCCTTTCCTCAGATGTTGAGGTTAGGACTCTATCAAATATTCTGTACTCTGCCCTTGGGTTTTTACGTCCAAGATGCATTATCTTGCACTTATCCACATTAAATGTCAGGTGACACAACTCTGACACTTTTTCTAGTTTACCTAAATCATTTTCCATTTGGCTTATCAGTCTTGGAACATCAACCCTGTTACATATCTTAATATCATTGCAAAAAAAAACATACCTTACCATTAAGACCTTCTGCAATATCACTAATAAAAATATTAAAGAGAATGGGTCCAAGTACAGATCCCTGAGGTACCCCACTGGCGACAAGCCCAAGCTTCGAATATACTTCATTGACTACAACCCTCTGTTGCCTGTCACTCAGCCACTGTCTTACCCATTCAACAATATTGGAATCCAAACTTAAAGATTGCAGTTTATTGATAAGCCTTCTATGTGCAACAGTGTCAAAAGCCTTACTGAAATCTAGGTAAGCAATGTCTACTGCACCACCCTGATCTATAATTTTAGTTACCCAATCAAAAAAATCAATAAGATTAGTTTGGCATGATCTCCCTGAAGTAAACCCATGTTGTCTCTGATCTTGAAATCCATGTGTTTTTAGATGTTTAACAATCCTATCCTTTAACATGGTTTCCATTACTTTCCCCACTACTGAAGTAAGGCTTACTGGCCTATAGTTGCCCGACTCCTCCCTATTACCTTTCTTGTGAATGGGCACAACATTCGCTAACTTCCAATCTTCTGGGACTACTCCTGTTAACAATGATGGGTTAAATAAATCTGTTAATGGTTTTGCTAGTACACAACTAAGCTCTTTTAATAATTTTGGGTGTATTACATCAGGTCCCATTGACTTATTTGTCTTTACTTTTGACAGTTGAAATAGAACCTCTTCCTCTGTAAACTCACATGTAACAAATGACTCATTTGTCCTTTTTCCTAACTGATGCCCATTTCCTTCATTTTCATCTGTAAATACTGAACAAAAATAGTAATTGAGACATTAATCTATTGAGGACAAAAAAGTAAATCTATACTGTATGAAATACTAGTATAGATTAAAGGGGTAGCACAAAACATACAACCTGTAGATAATACAAAAACCTCCTTCACAAGATCTAAAATATAAGAAAAATCACATAATAGTGAAGCATGTACAAACAATATATAATTCACTCCCGGAGGTAGAGAACTTACAGGACCAAACTGTGGATCTGTGCTTGTCTCCCTTCCATAGGGTATATGAATAACGATTCTTCTCTCAGGAAGCTTGTATATACGGACCAAAGGTGTAGATGCAAGACACTCAATCCTCAAAAGGAAAAGAGGTATATAGAGCAGTATTGTAGATAAAAAATAATTTATTAATACAAATTGCACTTACATCAAGTGAAGCTCATAGCAGCATGTCACCACTAGCAAGTGGTACCCAGGAGAAGGAATCTCTCTGTAGCAGAATGTAAACATATATATATAAAAAAATATACTAAAAAACGCACATAAAAAAACAAAAAACAAAAAAAAGGGGGAAGTAAATATATATATGTAGATCAATGAATATAATTGTTGTTTTTTTATGTGCGTTTTTTAGTATATTTTTTTATATATATATGTTTACATTCTGCTACAGAGAGATTCCTTCTCCTGGGTACCACTTGCTAGTGGTGACATGCTGCTATGAGCTTCACTTGATGTAAGTGCAATTTGTATTAATAAATTATTTTTTATCTACAATACTGCTCTATATACCTCTTTTCCTTTTGAGGATTGAGTGTCTTGCATCTACACCTTTGGTCCGTATATACAAGCTTCCTGAGAGAAGAATCGTTATTCATATACCCTATGGAAGGGAGACAAGCACAGATCCACAGTTTGGTCCTGTAAGTTCTCTACCTCCGGGAGTGAATTATATATTGTTTGTACATGCTTCACTATTATGTGATTTTTCTTATATTTTAGATCTTGTGAAGGAGGTTTTTGTATTATCTACAGGTTGTATGTTTTGTGCTACCCCTTTAATCTATACTAGTATTTCATACAGTATAGATTTACTTTTTTGTCCATATTATATTGGTGTATGTGAGGTACACTGTTGGGTGTTTGGCACGTTTTCTCTTGTCTTGGTTGGGATATTATATAGTACCTTCTTCTTCTTCCACATTAATCTATTGAGGTTTTGTGTAGGGTTATGGTTGGTGTAGGGTTAGGGCAGTGGCGTACACACAACCCATGGGCCCTGGTGCGAAAATTGATGCGCGGGCCGTGGCTGCAACACATGGCGGCGGGCACCTGGTCGCAGGGGTCGCAGGTCTGCGACCCTTGCGACCGCGGTATGTACGCCAGTGCATGCAGATACACACACTTAAAGGACCACTACAGACACCCAGATCACAGCAGCTCAATGAAGTGGTCTGGGTGCCAGGTCCCTCTAGTTTTACCCTGCAGCTGAAAACACAGCAGTTTCAGAGAGTGCTCAGGGGAGAGAGCGCTCAGGGGAGAGTGCTCCCTCGTGCGCCCACCAGCCAGCCCGCCCGGCGACCCCGATATGTACGCCTCTGGGTAAGGGTTTGTATAGGTGTGGGGTTAGTGATACTGTTAATGCTTAGTTATGGTTAATGCTAGGTAACAGTTAGGGGTAGTGTAGGGTTAAGGTTAGTTGTAAAGTTAAGGTAGGTATGGTTAGATTAAGTGTTCTTATAGGGTTAAATGTAGGGTTGGTATGTAGCCTTTACTACAAAAAGTTTAGATCCTAGACATATGAGGAATTTAACAATCAGGACAGACACATGCATCTATTTTGAGTACTTTTTCTTTAGTTGCATTTGATGTGTAAAAATTATTATAAGCAAAAATATGAAGAAAAATATCAAAAATCAAAATCAAAAATATTTTTCAAATTTTCAACATTTTATCCACACTTATTGATGTCTATGGTATAAATATAGGATAGTTAAAGAAAGCTTTGGGCACAGGTCAGTAGTGATATTGATGGCATGAATCTATAGAATGTAACCCTCAAAAGGATACATTCCAAGTAAGAACCCCAATAAAAGTGCTATAAACTAGGTTCAATATATTTAACTAGAAAGGGTGATATCCAGGTTTGTAAAAAAAGGAGGCAGGAATGTTAAGGGTGTTGGCACAGAAGAAGACAATATGTGCACCCACATTGATTTTTGTCAAACTCTGTTAGTTAAAAATGGAGACATTTCCAATCACTTGATGCCCTCACCGTCTGCCTCAGATATCAAAATGAGATATTTCACTTTATTAATATCCATGCAAATATTTCTATAGCATTATTATACATTTTATATGCATGGCATGCAATTATCATGCAATTATATACTTGAGTTATGGGCTGTAAAAAAGATTATAGTAGTCAGATCACTGAAGTTCAGTTAAAATATCCACTTAAAGGAACAATCTAAGCACCCAAACCACTTATTCTTAAAACAAAATTGGTTTGGGTGAGAGATGTTGTCTCTTTTTTGTCAATGTAAAACATGCCTCTTTCTCTTCCTGATGTCAAGCTTCAAAACTCAATGTTCTTCATGTTCAGTGTCTTCGTGTCCAATATCATGACACCAAAAGCTCTTCTTAATGCTTCTCGTAGAGTGAGGCTATTACCATGCATGCGCCATACATCCCCAGTGCTTCTCAATTAAAAGCATTCTATCAGACAGAAGTTATCATTACTGATGAGATCACTGGAGGTGAAACAATAGCTCCAAGGAGACTGACCCAATATTGGAATAAAGGTGAGTTTTATGGCCATTTTTTTTTCCATATATAGGATTGGGAAGGCCAGTAATCTAAACAACAATACAATATATTTATTTTTAATTGCAGAGTATTCCATTAAGAGGGAATTGTTGATTCAGACTGGGCTGTAAAGGTACAACAGTTCACACTTATCATTGCATTCTTGTTGCATTTTTTGCATGTTTAATCATAATATCAATTCATCAAGAAAGTGTGATTCTATTTACTCGTGATGTCTGGAGAAATGTATCAAATGCTTTAATGAGGTTGAAGAAGCATGGATGGAAAGCTTCACTGTGCAGAATTACATTGTAAATAAATAAATAGAACAATAAAGAATTTACACATCGCACACACAGGGCTTGATTCTGTAAATTTCAGTAACTGTGATCACGTTTTGTAGAATTTATTAAATGAATTATTTCCCCATAATTTAATTAACTGGTCATAAAACATATATTTAAGCATTTTTGGGTTACTTCCACATGCAGTAAAATCGAAAAAAACAGATCTTTGGTAGTATTCCCTCCTTCGAAGCATTTAGTACCAGGTTCATTAAGCAACACAACCTTTGATTTAATTATATACTATATATAATTAAAACGTGGGAATAAAATAATCACTTTTTTGTTGCAATTACCCGGTGTCTTTCTCCAAATCAACATTTTAAGTAAACATATCGTCTAAAAACTATTGACTTCATTTAATGTAAACACCTGCATAAGCATGACAAATATTTACTCTGGAATTTCTTCTAAAAGAGCTCTTGGGATTTTTTGTCTGACTTGCAAAATCAGAAAGAAATGTAAATATAGAGCTTGAGGTTGATACATTTCCTGGTGGAAAACCTCCCCTTCCCATGTGAGTTTGCCACAAGCTCCTGAGCTTGCTTGCCAGCCTCCTGCCCACAGACTATGGGCCCTGCAGAGAAACCTGTAAAAGACAGTTTAAATGGCTTGGTTTGTGTAACTTCCCTACACCATTCGGGAACCGAACAACCGCACGAACCAGGGACCCCCCGGGAGCTTATTAACCCTCATTAACACCTTGGAATGGTTCTTACCCCAGTGTTCTAATTGTTCATCTGGGTGGCCACAATTCGTATGATTGACCACGAGTTCATGGAATTAAAATTGGACACTGAAACTCCCAAACATCGCTGGACTTCCATCATCGACCTGCGTTCGGCTCTGTAGATTCTAGAAGAACACTGTTCTGTGGAATCGTTCGTCTGGATCGGGGAACAAGTTCAAATATAGGCTACATTTGGTAAGTCTTTCATTTTTATGTTGCCAAAGTTGACTGACTGCTAGCACTGATTTCATGGAACTATTTTGGGCTTAAGCCACACGTGCGGTCGCTCAGAAATGGGTCTTCCATGGAAAACCTGAACCCCTGAACTAAATTGGGTGATGTTTGGATATGTTGGTCACCCAGATCGTGGCTATCAGGGGATGTAACATTTGTGGGGTTTTCGTGTATTGCATGTGTATTTTGGGGTGTTTTATAAATTGTTGTATCTTCTGTCCCTGAGAGATAATAAAATGAAAAGTGGTTGCTCAGGTAATTATCTCTAATGCACAGAAGATAATGGGAGGGATTTCCCTATAATGTTGGATAGGAAACCCCGTGTAGGGGCTGTTGAAAAAAGCAGGCTATCTGGCCAGATTAAAGCATTCCAGTTGTTCCATTCCAGAACTATATGTCATCTGGTTACTGGGAGGGGAAAGGGCTAATCACTGATGCAGCTTGTTCTAGCTCTTGAAGGAGGATTCAACGGGGAAAGTCCTTGTAAGGACCAGAGCTCTAAGGACTGTGTGTTGTCCAATATTCTCACTGTAAGAGAGCTCCCTGTACCCCTGCTGGGTACCTCCACCAAAGGACCGCTTCCTAGCTGGAACAGAGGACTAGCTATATTTCCTGGACTGGGAGGGAATAGAGCTAGTCCCCTG